ATTTTTAGGTATTACTTTTTGTAGTGCAGTGGATTGTTCGTAAAACCACCCAGCAATTGTGACTTCTTTCTCTTTAGACTGTGGTAGTGGCAATGCACTTGCCTTTTTTTGCAGTTTTTAAGATAGCCTCCATAACTGTATAATGTGGATCTTGTTCAGCCAGGATGAATGAACTTCTGTGACCTTTTTTTTAAATGGAATGTTTTATTTTAAAGATTTGATTTTGGAAAGTAAAATTTATGTAATTTAAAACTTTAAAATGTAAATTTAAAGTGATGACTGGTCCTATGCTAAGGCCTAAACTGATTAAAATCTATTCGCAGGACTTAAATAAGAAAAGGATTCAGCAGTACATGTTTATTGAAGTTTTAGCGTCAAATTATGAAATTAATCACTAGCTAAATGTCTGGGATCAATATGTTGAAGTGTTAAAAGCCAGTAGTGTAATTACAGTGGAGCAACTGGGGCAGCTCTCCTCAAAGCCTGCTTGGGGGTGGGAGGGAGGAATGCAGAAGAATATCAGCTGCCACTGCAGCCACACAGTGGTAGCCAGGAGTGGCTGCTGCCCCCATGTGTCCTGCTGCCCCAGGAACCCAATTTCTTTGTTATACCTCTAGTTAAAGCAGCTTCTGACAGCTAGAGCTTCTTCTGCTGGTGGAAGGAGAATATTTTCTTTATTTCATTTTAATCATTTAGGTCAGTTCACAAACTGCTTCCCTACTAGTTTCTCAACTATGAATGAAGTGTTTCTTTTCTTCCAATTTATGAATAAATGCTAGATATTGGAAGATGAGAGCTGCTAGTTCTGAAATCTTGAAGGACAGAGCCACGAGGAACAATCAGTTTGCTCACTAGAGAGAATACTACTTTCTTCTTATATATCCTGCACTTTTAAGGTAGATTTATTTAACTAGTAACTTATTTTAAAATGTCATGTTTGGGTATTTATAATCTAGTTCTGAATTCTGTTCATTAGAACTTGACACGCAACCTACCTAGTTTAAAAAAAAAACTAAACATTAACATTCTTTTTACTGATTTTAAATTGTGATTAAAACTGAATCACAATTTAAAATCAGTAATTCATTTTTCTTGAGCCTGTGATTTTAAATTGCTCCAACTTAATCTAGCTTGCTTTCCATTTCCTAAAGGCTGTTTGCTTAGCACATAGAGTGCTGTGAGATTAAATGAAACCATGGCAAGAAAAGCGCACAGGAAATGTAAAGGATTGTGAGTTTCACTGTCCTGAATAAGAGAAGTAATTCCATCCTTCCAAAATCCTGCTCAGTACTTCAGAGTCTGAATATGACTTGCAAGGACTAACAAAACACATCACTGACTTCTTCATACAAAAGTATGCTTTGGTTGGAACTCGGATATTTAGTTTTCTCTCATGCAGTTTTGTTAACACAACTTTTGTCTTATCACAGACCTTGTTGTAATATGCAACAAGGACCAAATCATTAACAGCGTTTTAGAAAATCCCGAATTACTTATAGTACAATAAAGCAACCTACAACAATAGCCTTCAGATATTTTATTCATAAAGGCAGAACTAATGTGATTCCTAGTTCCAGGAATCCAAAATGCACCTATAATTGAACCTTTATCTGTTTAATAATGAAGAATTCCTGATCCACCTCAGGGGAGAAAGTATTGTCTAACCCTCTTGTGTAAGCCGCACCTTTGGAAGAGTCTGAGGAAAACCTGTAAAACCTACTAGTTCCTTAAGGACCTGGTTCAAGGTTTGTGTGCGACTTCACTGAAACTTAGGGACTTACAAAATTAGCATTTTGGATTAAAAAAAATACAGCCCTGAAATGTCCAAGCTTTGGCTCTTGTCAAAGCAAGATGACAATGATGTCAGAGGGAAGAAGGCTCTGTTCTCAAACTTACCTACAAACTTCAGTTGTCTCAACTGATCTACATGACTCTCTGGTAAGAGGAGGAGAAAGGTCAGACTAAAAAATGCTACAACTGTACTGAGTATAACAAGGAGGTTGATGTATGAAATGTACTTGGGGAAGTGGTTTGAGGAGATTAAATAAATGAAAGCAAGGGAAAGATATTGAAATGCCGTTCCTGAAATCCATAAATTAGTATGTTGGAAACTATTAAATTGAAAGACTTGAGTTTCAGCTCTTTATCATTTGGAACAGCTCTTAATGCAGTAGTAATCCTTTCTTGGCTTTATTTTTTTTAACAGCATTTCCAACATGGTTTCTCAGTGTGTTCTGCAACTCCCTATTCATTGTTTTTAATTGTCACTTGCAGTTCAAAAGCATGTAGCAGACATAGAAGCGAAATATTTCTTGTGAAATTATGCTGGAATGTGTATGTGCTTATTGTAAAAATCAGTTCCACTCGTGGTATACATATTGATTTTTGGATACAGTGTAGCCAAATTGCTGATCCACAGAGCTATTTAAGGACCTGCAGCATTCCTGTATGGACCCTGCACCTTACCATAGGGAATACTTCGGTATTCAGCAAATATTGAGGTTAATAATCTACAGTAATTGAAACATCTTCAAGGGCTGTCACTCAGTCCAGCTGATAAAATCTAATTAATCATCATTCTGGGATCATTTAGTATGTATGGAACAGAAAAAATGTTTTGGGGGTTGTTTTTTTTAAATAATTAGTCATTGTTTAATTTGCATATATGTCAAGAGACTCTACAGTGCTACTTAGTCAAAAGAATTGGTTTGGGCAATTCTTGGCTGTCTGGGAGAATGACTGGTTCCAGGATAAATTTACTGAGCATGGGATGAATCTGCTCTTGATCCTGCATTAGATATACCTGAGCCCACTTTGAGCCTGTGAACCCATGGAGTTTTATTTTGGTTGGAAGGGCTGCCAGTATGCATCACAACATAGGATCAGAACCTTAGGATGAGATATGGGGATGCTCACTATTAGCACAGCAAAGTTGGAGTTGCTTTGTTGATAAGATCAAGAATGGCGGCCAGCCATGGGTCTGCTGAAAACTTCTGTGCAGCACTTTGAGTCTTTTAAGATTGATTTCAGAGATATTTGGAAGTCATAGATTGATCTAGTGGTCTAGTTTATGTGCATCAGTAATGTCATATTTAATCGTTATTGAATTTCTGGTAATGTTACATGAGACTGAAGCTCATCCAGTAACCACAGAGATTTTTCATCTTCTCTTAAGAATTGGGCATAACTTGATTATACATATCATGTTCCAGCATTTGTTTTGCATCTGCTTACTTCTCTTGAGTTCTTTGGGGTTTTTTGTGAGATTAATAATTGCTACAGATACTACATCTATTATGCATCTGTGACTCAATTTTACTATTTGATGCATCTTTTTGACTTCATATAAAAGTTGTTCTTGTTTCAGTGAATTTTCATAGTTCATATTAATCCAAGATAAGGAACTAAAATACTGAATTTGGATGTCTAGTGCAAACTTTGTGTTTACAGTAATAAAATTACTCCTTGTTTTTAAGAATGGAGTACTGAAGTGCAAATGATTATGATTTTAAGTTTAAGGAAACAAAACAAAGCTACTTTCTCCTTGTTGAGTATGGAAACAAACTACACCTGACATCTTTGCACCAAAACAATGGAATCTATTAAATTCTGCATGTTTTATTATTAGGAATAATGCCATATGAATGGAATGGGAACTTTGTTTATTTTATTTTTCTAATTAAAGTGTAAAAGTCTTTTTGTTGCCACAGCAAGTATGTTTTAGCATTTTTCCCTTTTTGAAGCTGAACTGTGGTGCTTGTGGTGGAAAATGTTGACTATAGATACACTATAGATGCATTTTGTCCCTGATATTGGCTGGTGAGGTTCCAGTAAAACTGTGCCAGCTGTCAAAATATCTAACATTATACTGTATTTAATCCCCATCCCACCTAGAAGCTAGTCTCTGGTTAACCATTTAAAAACATGTTGCATTAGTAAATAGTTAGCAAAGCAAAACTGTGTAGTGAGTCATGCTAAAGGAGTAGTTGATCACTTCCCCCTTCCATTATATGGCATCTTAATTATTTAATAATAATTTTAGCAGTAAAACTGTGGGAGAGGAGTTCCAGCAGTCACAAAGAACAGTGTATCATGCTGAAATGCGTGCTTACTAGTCTAGATCTCTCTTCCCACTTGCAGATAAATTCTGTACAATTAGTATATTTGGGAGGATTATTATGCAGAAAGATTAATCCATGGGAGTAAGTGTAGGAAAATGGGAAATGTGGAATATAGCACTACTAGTTCTTGTTGGGGTGGCGAATCATCAACATCAAGTACAACTTTATGGTATATTCCAGTTTTCCTGCCACACTTAGGATTATTTTAAAAATTGGGTTTTGGGAGATGCGTCTTCACTTCTAAGTATGTAGCTCAAACCCAGAATTTTAAGAAGTTTAATTCACTTCATATAAGGTGGCTAAGGTGTCTGGTGGTGGGAATGACTGAGATGAGAGCAGACTTCAGTGAAGAGGAAAGGGAAGGGTCGAGGACAGGATAAGACAGATGGGAAGCTGCCTGAAAGTTGAGCAAGATTAGCTATCAGAAGCAGTTCAGAAACATTTAGTTTGAAACAAGATTTGAACAGCAGCATGGTGAATTTGTGGGCAAGTAGCTTTTCAAATTGTTCAGCGAGTTAGTTCCTGTGACATGCCGAGCATTCTCAACTTCTGTGGGAGTCCTGGACATCGAAGGTATTCAGTATCTCTGCATGGTGTTCTTGCAGGCCTGGATCCTAAGTCTTTGGGCCTCTTGCAGTCTTGTACTTGCCAAAAATAATTCTCCAATACAATACTTGCTTTTGGCGTAGGACTGAGTGAAATAATTTATAAAAGGAATATTATATTCTCTTTTTAAATAAAATGGAATAAATTGTGATTTATGGGAGTGCATTAACCCTAGGCCTGCAGTAAACTATTAATGAGAACTTCTGTCACTATTGATTTCTTTTCTCCCCTTGTATTGACCTTTTAAAATTTGCCTCTGTGTTGTTGTTTCAGGGATAGAGCTCTGTCCTCCTGGGCACCGGTTCATGATCACCATGGTGGCAAGCTTCATTGCAATGGCTGGGCAGTTCCTCATGCCAGGTCTGGCTGCCCTCTGCAGGGACTGGCAGGTTCTCCAAGCTGTCATCATCTGCCCTTTCTTGCTGATGCTGCTTTACTGGTAGTAAGTATTTCTGTCCTATTACTTGGGGATAAAAATGTGCATGCGCTCTGAGGAGGTGTATGGTACTGTCATGTTCCAGACCTGCTGGTCATCTGTAGTGGCCAGAAGAAATGTGGTATTTGGCCCCTGGGTTTTTTGCGTGCTTGTTTTTTACCTTCCTCTGAAGCACTGAATGTCAACCTTGGCTAGAGGCAAGAGTTTAGCTGGAATATGCTTGTGTTCCTGTCAGTACTTAAAAACTTCTCATGCACCTGGCTAGAGAGGCTCAACATCCAACTAATCATTAGATTTGGTTTCAGAAAGATTTCTTCCCCATGGTTAGATTGGCAAGGACTGTGAGTTTTTTAGCAATTCCCTGATCAATGGCTCACAATCTTCTTAGGATCATCTGAACATAACTTAACCTAACAGATATCTTTCCACTGCAGTAACCAAGGCAGTGACCTTGTGTCTCCTGATCTTTACCTGTGACTCATTATAGGGATTTTTACTTCTTTTCTAAATGAGCTGTTATGTGGTTGTGATGTGCAAATGGTGTTGGAGTGGATAATGTTACGAATCCTTTGGTCAGATTGTCACCTGTGAACTCAAGGACCTAGACTCTGATCCCAGTGGCCCCTTTCGGTCCTGTGTTCCCGGGCTTCAGAGGAGTGGGATATCTGGAAGGCCCACTTATTTGTTTTTTAGACACTGTAGAACTCTTTCTTTTGAAGTTATAAAAGCCCCACCCTCACCCCTATCCCTAGTGCATATACACATCTGAAATATAGCTTCAAAAAATGCAGTTCCTCCTTGTCTTCCAAATAGTAGAGCAGGGTTTGGAGGAAAAAGAAGAGTTCTGCTTTGCGTTGAAACTTATGCTACCTATTCTTCTCACCAGGCTAAAAAAAATGAGAAAAAAGGTAAGTTTTCACTAGAACAGGAGTTTTCAACCTTTTTTAATAAGTGTACCCCTGGCGGCCCCCTTTTTAGTAAGTGTACTGCAGTGGGGGGAGGGGAGGTGGCAAGCAGTTGGATGTGGAGCAGGGGCATGGTGAGTGGCGGAGTGGCAGCAGTGCAGCATCTGTGCGACCCTGCTCTTGCCCCACCCCAGCCCTGCTCCTGTGAGGCAGCAGCACTGAGTGGTGGTGCTTCATTCCCATTTTCTCCCACGTACCCCCTGGGACCTATGTGTACCCCCAGTTGACAACCCCTGCGCTAGAAGGATGGTTGCCACTGTGTCTCAGCCTTGGCCTCTGGAGAGCTGAGTTCCTAAAGTAGATTTTCCCCTCAAACTTGTACTGGGCTTCTTGCCTGTCCCCATCATTCTTTCTCTGGCCTTCTCTGAGAATAGGTCCCCTGGCAGATGTCAATATAATGGTGCAGTTGGGATCTGAGGAAATTGTCCCATCTCAGAAATCGGGCATCCAGCCTTGTCAGATGTGCGTAGCCAGATGCCTGACTTTCTGGGATGGCACATAACATTCCTTGGATTTCAGTCATACTTTTTCTAGATCCTCACTGGGTCACAGGGCTGCCCTGGTGGTTATTGACAGCTGATTGTTGGCATCAGACTCGGGAAAGCAGCAAGTCTAGAATTGGGACTGCACTGGCCAGGGCTGACACCCACCTGATTGTCCAGACCCAGTGCTGTCCCAGGGCTGATGCTGACAGCCCTAGATCTGGAGATGCGTGCCACGTTTAATTTAAGGTGACATATAAACCAAACACAAAGAGCTCCACATTATATGTGGCACATGGAAGCATGCCATTTTATGACACTAAGTTTGAGTATGTGGCATGTTGCAATTCATGGCGCAGTCAACACAGGATTTAAAGTTACGTCAGCATATGTTGATTAATGTGGGTATGTGGTAAGCCATTTACACAGCTCTCAATGAGTGGTACTCCTTGCTAGTTTTTAATTCAACCAGCTCTAGTCTGTATTGAAATCTCCATTGCCTGGTCTACACTAGACTTTCAGCATGTGTTTGGTTATCACATTACCTTTCTCCCAGTCTATTATTTTATTTTATTCCCTACCCTCCACCAGTTGTATTGGCTGTGCTTTAGAATATTGGTTCAGTCTCCAAACTGTGCGCATTCAGTCCCAGTACCATCCTCTCAAAAACTTTATCCAGTAGCATTTTATTGATCATTACAAAGTTAGATTAACTTGCACAATAGATTAAATAAGCCATCAAAACATACTTATGTGCAAATAGTACATTTTTCTTTTTGTAAATACTTAGTTGTCAGGATCTGATCCAATTCCTAAGGAAAGCTTGTTTGGTCGTAAGATCCTTTGCTGGCATTAACAGGAGTTGAAAATCTAACCTTTTATCCTAAATCAGAAAAAATCTTCATGGACTTGCTGCTGCCCAAATTCTGCTCTTGGGTATAGGATGGTAACTTGCACTGAAAATGGGAGGGATACCATGGAAAGAAGTCAAGGTTAGGAACTACTATACCATAAGTGATGTCACAGGACAGTGGTGGTAGATTTGTACATACCCCTCATTTGATTAGGTGGAATTCCTCTTCTGAAAGGCATGTACATGTTGCCAAACTATGTGCTCTTCCCCCTCAATTTGAGAGTAATTAATAATTAAGTATGCACCATGTGTGTATGTGCAAGGAGAAAGAGAATATTAAACTAGCATTTAATTATAATAAAAGAAAAGATGCCAACTGTCCTGCAGTGTAGCTGAAGTACCCACACTGGACCCAAAGCAATCTGTTAAACAGTGAAAAGTTGTGTGGCCCTTCATGTCAGCTCCCCCATATTTCTCCCTGTTCTGTTCATGTCCCTCCTTTGTTGCAAGAGTGCTGGTTACTCCTTCTCTATATCTGGGTCAGAACTGCTTCCATCTCTGTTCCTTATTCCCCCTACATTATGCACGAGGGCATTATAGTGTCAAGTCCTAAACAACTGGAGCCTTAAAGTAGGGACTGTTCGAAAGGGAGCAAAACAGAGCAGCTTTATCCAAGAGCGCAGGTCTGTGAGGCCTGTGATGATCAATGATTAAACTGTGGTGTCAGGACAGAGCCAGGAATCTAGGATATGTGCCTGATATGAGCAACACATACCTGAAAGCAGTTAGGGCCCTATCAAGTACAGACTTTTGGCACCCACTACAAAAAAGGCTCCTGTTTCAGGCCTCAAGGATACAGGAGGCGTTGTGTTTGTTCTCGTTCTCTTTAGTATCAGACGCTTCCTGCATATAGCTCTAATGAGGGCTTAAATGTACCAGTAATGAAAACAAACCAACCCCTTCACCTTAGTTAAAAGTGAAGGACTAGCTGGGTTAGTGTGAAATGTATGTGTGTTGTTGTTGGGGTGGATGTGGGGAAAGGATTTATTTTCTCCCTTCGTCACTTTAACAGCCTAGCTGTGGCTTTGAACTGATACTATAGTTAAGGACCATTGTAGTTTGGGCTTCAGTGGATTGCATGGGACAGCCTAAAATTTAGCATTTCCCCCTAAGCGCTGGAAAACTGTGATTTGACTAGAAATGGCCTGAAACAGCAGGAGAGAGGGAGGGAGGGTGGGCAGGGGGTGAGAAGGTGGGGGGAACTTAGCTGAAGTGCAGAAAAGACAGACAGCAGAGCCCTGGAAACATTGTGGAAGCCCCACGTATTTCCAGGGGCAGCCTAGTACAGCCTAAACCCCTGCCAGAGCTCAGCCAATCAGGTTGTTTGATTCCATGCTTTGGCAGAGAATTAAAAAGCCCTGCCCAGAGTGAAGCAGGTAAGCACCTCCTGCCGTAGGGGCTGCAGGCATAGGCATGCCCGGGTACCTGCCCTCACAGCCAGGTGTGGAGTGCATGGTGCCCTCGCCACAGGGGCTTCACTCCACCTGGCACAGCTCTCCTAAGCCCTGCTTTGCTTTGCTGTTGTTTATTAAAGTTTATTTAGTATGGTTTCAATAAGATTTGTAAGTGGTGAGCTTTACCTAAAATGTGTTTAATAAGTGGTGAGCTTTACTTCCTTAAAACAGCTGAAGAACAACCTGTGTGCTGCTGTTCAATGGTAATCAGCCCCATGGCGGGCTTTCTCAGCCAATCAGAGGTGTGGGAGAGTCTGCCCTGAAAAACACCTGAAATTGGCTCTGGCAAGCCTGCAGGCAACCCACTTTTCCCTCTGTGGGAACCTGAATTACACTGATCCATAGTCTGTTGTTGCATTGGTATAGATTCCTTGTGCCAAGAGCTTGCACTAATGCAGCGCATCTTGCAATGGTGCCAGCTTGCTCTGTTTTCCAACAAGGCCTGGCTTACTCCCAGATGCCTGTGGTACTCCAGCATGTTAATCATGGAAAGTGGAAAAGATTTTGAAATGCTGCTTCCCCATCCTCCCTTCCGTGTGCATTTCCTCTTCTCTGCTATTTTCTGTTTCATTTTCTTTTTTCTATCACTTTCTTCAACACTTCTACCTTGTAACATCTTTGGCCTTTCCCTCCTTGCTTGGATTTTTCTGTGGTTTCGGGGCTTTTTGTCTCCCCCCCCCCCCCCTTAATATTTCTCCTCTTCCCTTCCACCTCCTTGTACCCTGTTTTTAACAGGGAAACTGAAAACTGATCCAAATTCAAAGTTGTTCCTCTTCTACCTTTTTCATGGACAAAAGTTTTATGTCAACCAGCTGGCAGCATCCAGCTCAGCTTTAGGTGGTAGGAGATTCACCAATCAGTTTTCCTCAGCAGAAAGCCTTTTAAGTTCTTTACAAAGAGTACTCCAAAGGGAATGATCCTAATACAGGATGGGGGGGATGGGTAGAGACAAAAGCAGAAAGGTTGTCAATGCTAACAACTAATTTTCCCCCATCTGACTAGACGAAGAGGGGAGGCAATCATTTCTCAATAAAGTGGCATTTATAGAAAATGGACAATAGATTTCCTACTATATTTCGTGCCATATTAAGATCCTGGTGAAGCAGCATCTTACAGTAGTAGTCTTGTTCAAATTTAGGGTACTAAGAGGAGATAAAGCTGTAGGAAACCAAGAAGAGGCCTGAAATCACAT